CATCATTGAGGTGGGCTAGAGCGGCACTGCGACGAAATCTCCAAAGAAGAAGCTAGTGGCCGGCGAGTTGGAAGCAAGAGGGGAGGCCGGCGGTGGGGGTGAGGAGAGGAGTGAAATATAGAAAACTGAATGTACTTTCAGTTTTATGAGTTTAGGAGGGAAATAACACTAGAATTTGAATTTCCTAATTAATGCAATTAAGGCATTAATTGGAATCAATTTCGGTTAAGCCCATGGATGAGCTGGCGGTAAGGAGAGAAGGGAGAGTTTTGAAAACTGAAATTATTTTCAGTTTTTGTGAAAATAGGAGGGAGGATTATTTGCATTTAATTTGTGATTTCAAATCACAAAAAAAAGGATTGAATGCAAACTTAATTGGGGGGCTTGATTGGGGGCCGGCGGCATGTATGGAGGGAGAGAGAGTTGGGGAGAGAGGGGGAAGAGTTTCCAAATGTAGGTGGATGATGTGGACAAGTATTTTGAAAACTCCAAATTAAAATAAATTGTAATTGAATCAATCATGCAAACTTTCCTAATTTGAGATTCCAAATTTGGAAAGAATTCAAAATTTCAAATTCAACATGGGATGAGGGAGGGGAGGTTGCCGGAAGGGGAGGGGCGGTGGGAGGTGGTTGGCCGGGATGGTGGTGGTGGCCGGCGGCAAGATCCAAGGGGGGAAAGCCGGCGGCTAGGGTTTGGGAGAAGGGGATTTAGTGGAGCTTCTAATGAGAGAGATGGTGAACAAATAAACACAAAATAAACTAGAGAACTCACCAAGAGATCTCAAAGGAAGAACTCACTAAGAGATCTTGTTATGCACTCACAAAGAGAACAAAAAGGGGGCAATTTTCATTTCATTCATCAATAATCCAAAATACAAAGACCTAGCCTTTATATAGGCTCAACAAACATACAAAGACCTAGCCTTTAAAAGACTACAATGCCCTTGGGCAACAACAAACACTAATTCCCTCATAGGGGTACAAAAGGAAAAGACAAGAAATATAAATGACATGAATAAAATAAAACATCAAAAATAAAGACTTTGAATCATGGCTGTCGATCGGCGCCTCCGGCGATGGTACACATGTCGAACTCTGATGTCCCCATCAAATACACTTACACCATTAGGCACAAAGCAGGTTCTGAAAACAAGGTTGTCGATGCACTAAGTCGTAGAATGGTGGTTGCTCATGAGATGAGAACAGAAGTGGTTGGTTTCGAGCAAATTAAAGAAAACTATTCTGAACTCCCCGATTTTGGAGAAACCTACTCTAAGCTAACAATTGGAGATGATCGTATCGTAGGAGATTTTATGTTGGAAGATGGATACTTGTTTAAAGCTCAAAAACTTTGTATTCCCAATACTTCACTTCGAGAATTTCTTGTTTGGGAATTACATGCTGGAGGTTTAGCGGGTCACTTTGGTCAAGCCAAGACCATTGACGAGGTTGAAAATCGTTTTTACTGGCCAAGTCTTAAGAGCGACGTTAGCAGATTAGTAAGGCAGTGTCACATCTGTCAGTTAGCCAAACAACGTAAACAAAACACCGGCCTTTACACACCTCTCCCTGTGCCTAACCAACCCTGGCAAGATGTTAGCATGGACTTTGTCTTAGGATTACCCAAGACCCTTAGGAAGCATGACTCGATATGTGTAGTTGTAGATAGGTTTTCTAAGATGGCCCATTTTCTCCCGTGCTCCAAAACTTTTGACGCCTCTAGAATAGGCAAGCTATATTTTGATGAAATTGTGAGACTTCACGGCCTACCCAAAACCATCGTGTCAGATAGAGATGTGAAATTTACTAGTTACTTTTGGAAGACTCTATGGCATAAAATTGGAACCAAATTACAATTCTCCACTGCTTTTCACCCCCAAACGGATGGCCAAACCGAAGTAGTAAATAGAAGTCTAGGAAATCTTTTAAGGACCTTGGTAGGAGAGAATATTAGGGACTGGGACTCTAAACTACCGATAGCTGAATTTGCATACAACAACTCTATAAACCGATCTACGGGTCTAAGTCCTGCTGAAGTCGTGTATGGTTACCTACCTAGACAGCCCATTGATTTGATTCCTATAAGTCCTAAGGTTGGAGTTTCTGAGTCTGCATCTGCATTCGCATCTCATCTTCAAGAATTGCACAAAGAAATAAACAAAAGAATTCAACAAAGTAATACTCATTATAAGATTGATGCTGATCGTAAGAAGAGATTTAAAGAATTTGAAGTTGGAGATTTTAATAACTATGCTGAGTCGGCAACTTCATGAGTCCTTGTGATGTGGACATTGACCAGAGGTTCAGACATGTGTATCGCCGTAGACAGCGCAGATCGACGGCCACGATTCAGAGTTTATATTTCTAGTTATTTATGTATTTCTTTTATGCATTTTCTTTTATTTCTTAGAATTTTCTATTGTACCCTTAGTATGAGCTGAGTCATGAGTGTAGCCCCGAGGGCAATAGAGTCATTGTATTTTCTTTTGTGTTGGGATCTATATATAGGTCATTTCATGTTGTATTATGGTTAATGATCATTGAAATGAAAATCTACTTTGTTCTTCTTTGTCTTCTTGCATAAGAGCTTGAAGAAGAGAGAGAGAGAGAGCTCCAAGGGGAGCAAATCGCAAGGCCCACCAATCGTTGGAAGAGTCCTCGATTCGTGGTTAGAATTTTCTATCTTTTCGTTCGTATTCCCATCCATCTCCTTTCCCTCCCCTCTACAAAAAATCCCTCTTCCCCTATTACCGCCGCCCCTGTGAGGAACCCGCCGCCGACCACCACCCAAACTCCGGCCGGCCACCTTGCCGGCGACGTCCCCGTCATCCACCCGACCCCTTCCATACACAAAGTTCAAATTTGAAATTTCAAATTCTTTCCTAATTTGGAAATCCAATTTAGGAAGGTTTTCATGAGAAGATTTAATTTCAATTTAATTTGGATAGGAATTATGAGATCACGTACCACATCATCACCCTAATTTGGAACCCTTCTCCCTTGAATTCCTCTCCCTCTCCCCCTATGCAAGCCGCCGGCCACCCATGGAGAAATTCCCCATTAATGGTGTATTTAATGCCATGATCGTTTTTTAAATTATAATTTGATTTCAAAATCTTTCCCTCCTAAATTACTTAAAACTGAAATTAACTTTCAGTTTTAAGAATTTTAAAACCCCCTCTCTCCCTATAATAGCCGCCGGCCACCCCCCATTGATAAGCCCCATTAATGGCTCATTAAAGCCCTAATTACTTTTTGAAATTTGAAATTCTCTTCAAGTAATTCCCTCCAAATTTACTAAAACCTGAAATTAATTTCAGATTTTAGTAAATCTCTTGCTCCATTCACCCTACCTAAATTCCTCTTCACCATACACCACCCCCTCTCCCAACCGTGCCCGAACTCCCCTTTTTCCCTTGGAAATCCCGCCGGCTCCCCTCCCCACCTCCTCCTCCTCCTTTCAACTCAAGAACTCTCCCTCACCGCCTCCTAACTCCCTTCCCATTGGAAGAATTCCTCAACATCAAGTATGTATTGCGGATCCAGAGTTTGAGTGGGGATTAGTCTTCAACGCCGATGGAAGCATTAACATCCTACGATCTCCGTGCTTCGACGTAGGATTTGAAGGCAAAACCACCGTGGAAGAATATTTGGAGAGAGTCGTCCCGATCCTTGCAAGCATCTACGACCGACGATTGTCAAGCTACAACTGGAGTCTCGAGAGTCAAGCATTCACGCCATCCTCGTCACCGTCAACCTCTCCGTGGCTAAAGGCCATTGGTGTGGCCACCATCTTCGTGGCATCGTTGAGTTTGCTAAAGGCCTTCTCCCGCTAAACCCGACTTGAGTGTGAGTGAGCAAGGTACTCATTGTGAACTTTCTAAACATTAGCCGTGGGATTCTATTATTTTCCGCATTTGCTTTATTGTGTAACTTTTGATATCCATCATTAATTGTGCCTAAACACTAGTTGTAACCGCTTATCATAACATTTCATTAACGGAAAATTGCTTGAATCTTAACTTACGAAAAGCCTAATCTTGTGTTGGTAAACTTTGTGATTCTTAATGAATTTCATGTGCAATTCTTGAACGTAACACATCACCTTGGCCGAGTACAATAGCTTAGTACTGAGGGGCCAAGTAAAATAGCTTAGTACTGAGGGGCCAAGTAAGGCTGCCGAAGGCCTCGCATCTGCGGCTTTTTAACGACTCCAAGCGAGTCGTGTGGGCGACGTGGGAAGAATTGACGCGAGATCGTGCGAGGAGAGGCGACGACGTGCGTAGGTTGTGCGACGTGTTTCCACAGAGGGCAGGTGAGATTTGATTTGATTTTTTTTCTTTTTTTTTTTGTTTGGCTACGGGAAGGGTCAACACTTGACAATATTCTATCTTGTGCGAATCAAGGCTTAGGCGACTTAAAGTATGATGAGTGCCAAACTTAAAGCAGCTCAAGTTGGTATCAATCAGCTACTTGCTGAACTCTGTTCAGGCTATGATAGACTTGATTGACTCGATAGAGATTAATATGAGTGCACAATAATCTTATAAATTGTTGAAGCATGTTACTTCCCTTTGTTTTTTAGCACAGTTTTTTTTTGAAAGATGCAAAAGCAATATTATTAATAAAGAAGAAATAATTACAAACTACCTAAAGGATCTCATTCCTCCTTTAACAAGTTAAGAAATAAAGGAGGAATATTATCTACACTAATGTCATCCCAAACAAAGTTATTACTGAGAGCAATGTTAGCACAAAGATCAGCTAAATTATTACAATTCCTATTTACAACACTAAAATAACTTGCTTAAATTTTTTAAGGAAATCAATATTTTCCTTTCCATCATCCATCAGCTCGCCCAACGGTTTTTTTCAGCAAGCTTCGAAGGAACTTTATTATATTAGCATTGTCACTTTCAATAATAATTCCTTCATAATAATTAGTTAGTAACTTTAATGATAAGTTTAATCTTATCATTTTTATTTGGAATTGTGCAGAACATTGCTGAGACACTAAAACTAGATGTCCCCATGGCCATGGCTCTCGCCTTCAGTCATCTTGATGTTGAAAATTTCCATACCAGAGACGGTTCCATAAATGATGTTAGTAAATTTGAAACAGTGGAGGTGTCTTTGTTGCTTTGCAATGATTACTTTATTCGAAAGCTTAATAAAGACTGGAGAGACGAGGATCATGCTACTGATGTTCTATCAATGTCACAGCACATTCCAGAAATTGATCTTCCTGTTGTAAGTTGCCCTCCAGCTAAGGGACATTCAAATTAATTAGTGACCTTAGCTTTCTCCATTATGATTTGGGAACTTAGCTATCGTTCTTCTTTTAATGGATACTTTTCTTTCTACAGTTAATGTTAGGTGATATAGTAATTTCTATTGAGACAGCTCTCAAACAAGCAGACGAGAGAGATCATTCACTTCTTGATGAAGTAAGAATCCTCATGGTATGTTTGCTGCTTCGTTATTTTTGCATCTTCTCTTTTTTGTTACTTGATCACCGTATTTTAGTGCAAAATAAAAAAGTATGATCTAAATTTCCTCATGTCATGCACTTTTCTATTGCATTATACTTCATTTTGCAATTTTTTATGGTGGCTTTAATTCTGTGTGCAATTTATAGATCATTGCACTACCACATTTGTTTTAATGAAAGTTTTAATGTCCTTTCAGTTATAAAAACTTTTTAGATTATTGAGTTTTTGCATAAAGTCAATATAGAAATATATTTGATATGAACAAGTCTGCTAAATTACATTTTGACGTGATATGAATTATTGTATAAAAATATGATCATCATTGATGTTTGCAGCATGTGGCATATCAAGTTAGAGCTCATGACACGTAATATATATAGGCACTTCATGGCGATCATCATTAGATTTTTCCCATCAGCAATTTAGGGTTGTCTTTATGGACCTTCGTTATTCTTTTTTATTGCGTGATTATTGTAGTATTTGATAAGGTTTTATAAATCAGTCAGAATATTGAACCAAAAGGAAATGCTTATGGTTTAAAGGTTCAGCCATATATACAACATTAAGCCTTTGTCCCACTATGGGGTTAATAATAAATTTAAAATAACTTTAATGTGATGTAAATTTCATTATAATAATTCTATAATGATTTTTTTCCCAACCCAATATATAATATTCTAAATTAGGATACTTCTCTGTTGAATTCTTTGAATATGATTATAAATCAAAATTTTGGGGCTTGAAATTTGATTATTTTCTCTATGCATAGTTATGCACTTATAGAAATCTTTGCAAAAAAATACCTGGAGCACTGCCAGAAGATTGGAACGTCAATGATGGCTGAAATTAGAAGAAATTTCACCATCTTATATTTATAAATTAATGCATATAAATTCAAGCAGTTTTTTAAATTCTAAAATATATTAATTGCCATTTAATTCAAAATAATTGGTCATAAATAAATTAATATTAAAATCTTTCAATTTATCAAAGATTGGACTGCTTCATCGATTCTTTGGTTCAATCGTCAGTTTTGACTGATTCTTGCCGGTTCTGTGTGAAAGCGGTTTTCAAAATGGACAGGACTAGCCGAAAGACCGTTCCACAGTTGAACCAATCAGACTTGATGGTTTGATCTGGCTTTTAAAACTAGATTATTTCATGATACCGTTAAAATGTTGATGTGATGTACTTATAATTTCGGCTAAAATAATTTATGTTTATGCAAGTGTTTCACCACCTATCACATGCGTTGGTTTCACTATATAATTCCATTATCTAAAAACATGGTCATCCCTTCTCGTCCTTTAAATGCTCTATACAAAATACTAACTTACATAAAAGGCTTTTTATTTGATGAAATCTGTTTCATTTTCGTCAAGGTTCATGGTTTATTGCATCTTTTGGGTTTCGATCATGAAGTCAGTAATCTGGCAGAGGAGGAGATGGAGAAGGAAGAAGAATTGGTTTTGACTACTCTTGGATGGAAAGGAAAAGGCCTAATCAAGAGTGCATATGATTCCATTAGCAATGGAAGCCACCAGGCACAGGCTTTAGATGGTAAATATTGCTTTGCAGACCTTCTGTTACAAACATTTTCCTTTCATGCATCCATTTTATTTAAATCTTTGAAATCTAAATTGCTATATGAAGGCCTCTTGGATTGAGTTATTATTATTATTTTTTTTACAGAAACTGACCGCAGTATAGTGGAAGTAGATGCATTTCCATGTAGACAAAAAATTAGCTATATCTTCTGTGACATGGATGGTAAGATTTTTTTTTTTGGGAAATTGATGGTAAGATGATAGATCATTCTTTTCCTACTATTAAAACATTTTAATTTTAGTCAACTTTTATTTTTTGCAAATAAAGGTACACTTTTGAACAGCAAAAGCCAAATCACTTTGAGAACAGTAGAAGCCTTAAATGAAGCAATCTCAAGGGGAGTGCGCATAGTAATAGCCACTGGAAAGGTGATTAACAGACTTATATTATTTTTTGCCAGTTTCCTCAAGCAACATCCCATTCACCAAAGGGAGCACAGCTCCCTATAGTAATTGCTTATAAGGTAAATACCATTTTAAGGCACCCTCTTCTTCACGCAGTTTAATGGCAACTAGAAAGTTAGATGGCATTTTTTAACACCCCACCACCCACCCACATGCAAACTCACTCCCGAAAGATAGAGGGTGATTCCATACTCCATAGGATGGTATGTTTGGAGGAATACTAAATATTGCCTTATTATCATCTTTATTACAGTTTACAATTTTATTCTGCACTGTTTGGTTTAACCAGTGGTATTTCCATGGTTTTCCATAAGAGACTAGCTTGTAACATTTTTTTGGTTTAACCTTGAATTTAGAGCCGTTCAGCGGTTATGAGGGCTTTCAAGACTGCTAATTTAGCTGGAAAAGGTGATATTGTTAATGAATCATCACCTGGTGTCTTCCTACAGGTCTTTCCCTTTTTTCCTTTCATATGCGTTCTTAGTTAAATGTTAACATATACTGATGTCAGTATGAGAAATAAAAAATTACTTCCTCATATAAGTTCAACATTAGATTGTAGTTACTAGTGTGGTGTATTTGCAATATTTTTCGTGCTCTGATCATGGAATATTTTCTTTTACAATCCGATAGGTTTTGGGAAGTGTCAGCAGAGATTTCTAGTGGACTTAGTCAGCTAAAATATTAGCAACCTAATTTGATACATATATATTTGCTGTAATAGTTACTCACAATTTTCAAAGTCTCGGGGACTTTTGTTCTTTAATTTCTACGTTTCTGACGGTTTGATTTAAATGGTTCCCTGACTATTTGTTTTTAGCTGGTTTTATTCCAGAATATCACATTTTTTTTAATTTAGCTTCTCGCTCTACAAAATTGATTTTATATGATTCTTCAGAGACTAATTTGGAACAATTTTTATATAATTGAGGAACTAAATTGAAATTAATTTGTTTCAAAATGTCAATATGTTATATTATTTTGAATCCATTTTTTATAATCGATGGATTAAATTGAAGAAATATGTTCATTTGAGATTAAATTGGTTATATGCAAATAGTTGTCGGACTATTTTGAGATTTAGTCCTTTCTCAAGAGGAATTCTCTTAATTAACAGCTGCTACAAGCTATACAACACAGACATGAAAATGTAAAAACTTTCTTGAGACTCAGTATTCGTTCTTAAGAAATGGATCTGAACATCTAAAAAAGTTCTAATTACTTTTTCAGTAAATAATTATCAAATGAATTGTGGAAATAAGATGGCCATCACTGATAGTGCAACCACGTCATATAAGATACTATTCTAGCATTTTCTAGGTTACATAGCACATGTTAATCCAAGTTTTATAATTAGGACTTGCTACCGATATGCTATTCTAAAACTTTTGAGATTTAATCCCTTCTCAAGAGAAATTCTCTTAATTAATACTTGTTACAAGCTGTACAACACAAACTTAGAAAATATCAAAACTTCCTTGAAACTCTGTATTCGTTTCTTAAGAAGTGGAGCTTGTGTGAACTTCTAAAAGAGATTTAATTAATTATTCAGTAAATAATTATTAAATGAATTGTGAAGATAAGATGGCCAGCGCTCGTAATGAAACCATGCCATATAAGATACTATTTTAAAACTTGTTAGGTTACGTTGCACTTCTCAATCCAAGTTCTATAATGAGGACATGCTACAGATATACCTTGGTGTCTATTCATGTTTATTATTTAAGTCTGAGTTTAGTTCTAGTTATAAATCTGTGTTTAGGTGTAGTTTTCAAAGCCTTTTTCTAGTTTCTATCCCTTACAATGTTGAATTATCGTCATCTAATAACGGTTTCTCTATTGCTTGTTATGCACACCGGCATTTAGGGATTGCTTGTATATGGGAGAAAAGGAAGGGAGATCTGTAGAAGAAATTTAGATCGGAATGTTTGTAAAGAGGTAAAACACAATTTCTGATAAAACCAGTTCTCATCTTTGCATTATTATCCTGGATTAGTATTTATGAGATCTCCAGAAAAGATTTAGAATTTCATCTTCTTTGTTATAACATGTTTTTCTTTTTGGTTGTCATGCTAAGGATTTTTTGGTGTGCAGATTCTGTTATATTCTCTTGAGCACAGTGTTCCTGCAGTAGCATTTTCTGAAGACCGATGCTTCACTGTTTTTGATCATCCTCTTGTCGAATCATTGCATGAAATATATCATGAGCCAAAGGTATTTGAAGAAAATGAGCTTAAACCATTTAATTGTTTTATGAATATAAAAGTTAAGTGTTACATACTCCCTAACCCCACTTTCATGTAGGCAGAGGTCATCCCTGCGGTTGAACAGATTTTATCATCTTTTGAGATCCAGGTAACCTGACATTGAGTTACTCCAAGAAGTAGTGGTTGTTAACATGTTCAGTTTCAGCAAGTTGGCCTCAACATAAATAAACAAATTTTTATTTTAGCTCTTTATTCTAAAATATTTAATCTCGAGTTGGTTTCAAACTATCTCAAAGCCAATGCTATTAGTTTATAAAAAACATATACTTTTAAAACCAAGTTGAACATGCGATGTTTAAGTGCTATTTAGCTAGTTTTAAACTTCGAATAAATATTAGCCCTTAGATATATCCATTTTCCAATATGTGGCTGATTTTTGTGCTTATGCATTATTTGGTGACTTTCATTGGAAAGATGTATTAAATAGGATCCTTCCCTTAACCCTATTGTCTTTGTTAAGGAAGGATAGTGAGAGTTCTTTCTTCTTTTAGTTGATTTGTTTACTTATTCCTTTGCTTTTAATAATAATGCAAAATGTACAATTTCAATAGGCATCCATTTTCCACCCTTCACTGCCATTTTTGGATCCAAAATTTTCCTCCATAAATCAAAATCTTACTAACACAAACTTAGCAATAAAATGAGCAAGATTAGAGAGAATGATAGAATCCAGAGAGAAGTTATGGGATTTCATTGAAATAGATGTGAGTACAAAAGATTGCATATCTAAAGCTCAACCTTGACCTATTTTTTCAATGGGTTTGGATTGGAATTTGACTCTACAAAAAAATGATAAATAACGAGCTGCCTAAACAAGAAAAATAAATAGCAAGGTTTAAATGATTACTAAACAATACAGGTGAATTACTATAGACTAATTTGAATTAAGTCTCCAATAAACGAAGCCACCATCTTATTTCTTAAAGTCTGTTGACCCGTAACGCAAAACCAAAAAAAAAAAAAAAAAGATAAAAGATCATACCGGCCCTGCAATCCCACGTTGCTCCCCACGTCATACGTCGCACGCCCCTTGCACGTCGACGTCGCCTCACACACGACCTCACACGATCCTCGCATTGTTAAAAGGGACGAAGAGAACAAGGCCGAAGGCCTCCGCTCATGCACCCGATCTTCTCTTCTCGCTCTCGCTGCTTCCTCCATTCCTTCGTAGCTGTTCGACTTCGCTCCTTCGATGACTGTTCCTTCTAGTTGGAGCGGAAGTTACGCATTTTGATCGTGACTGGGAGCTCGTCGCTGTGAAGTAACTTTCTCCCTTCCCGTGGCTTCTCCGGCTTCGCCCCAGCCGCTCGACTTCGCTCCTCCCTCCGACGTCCCCTCCTGTTAGAGAGGAAGTTACGACGCTTTGATCGGCAACAACAACAGGAGTTCGTTGGCGTGAAGGTAACTTTCTCCCTTGCGCATGCTTCTCGGCCAAATCCTGCAAATCCGCCGAACCGAGGGATTGTATTATAAAAGATATATAATTTTAATCATAATTATGTTAATTAAATATAATTAATTACAATGATTATTTTTAATTAATCAAAATTCATAAATTAATTGTTATTAATTAATGTTAATTAATTATATTTTATTAGAATTAATTAATGTTAATTAAGTTATAATTAATTCCGAATTAATTATAACTTATTTTGTTAATTGATTTTAATAATCTTAATTAATTTTTTTAATTAATTATAATTAATTAAGAAAATGATTAATTAAATATTATTGTTTAATTAATTTTATTTAATTGATGTTAATTATAATTAATAAAAAATGTGCCCCTTCACTTGCCTCGGCCTTCGTGCCCTCGGCTGACAGTCGCCGATGACTCCTCTCCACTGATACGCCAATCCGTCGGCCCCAAAGGTATAATTTCTAAACTCAGATTTCCGTTTCCGGCGCTTGTAATGCGGAGAACGACCACCTATGCACGTTTTTCTTTAGCGTGGTAGGAGGAAGTTCTTTGCGATACTTGCGATGGGGCTGGAACAAAACCCCATTTTCAGCGTTAGCAACTTACCGGAAAACTAACTAATGCATGCTTTTCTCTAGCGTGGTGGGAAGCGAATCCGGTGCGATGCCTACGGCGAGAAGGGGTCAAATATAAAACTGCTCATTTTCGAACCGGTGCACGCCTTTCTCTGGCGTGGTGGGGGAACAAAGATTTTATGGCCGCGGCGTCCTCGAAAGAGGACACCTATCGTGCACGCTTTTCTCTAGCGTGGCGGGAGGCCCAGTTTTCTGTCATTTTTTCGGCTAAACGGGGGAGAAGCCGTGAGGCTGCCGAAATTTCAGGTGAAAACATGACTGTACTCGGACCTGTCTGAACTCAAAAGAACAAGCATTGGGACTCACATGAACATGAACTGTGGACTTGTGGACCGTTGAACTTGATTGAACACGAGAAGGGGACTTGAACAAAGCTCAAAATGATTAATTAAAGGTCAAATTAAGATAAAATAAAATCAAAATAAATTTAAATCCAAATCAATTCGAACTTATAATTGAACTTGCAAGGACTTATAAATTTGAGCCAGACAAAATGGCAAGAGGACTTGAACATGCACTTTAAGCTCAAACTAGATTGAATACAAGGGACTAGTGAACTTATGCACTCAGCTCGAACTCGAGTGAACTTAGACTTGAACTCAATTTGAAGGATAACATGAATTAGACAAGATCACTTGACCTACGACAATCCCTACGAGTGCCTGTTGATTGAGATGGCAATACTGGAGACTAGCAATCTAAGATCCATCCTTTACAAACAAATTCAACCATCAAACCCACCCGAGATTGGTGAAAGGGTGGATATGATGCAGAAACAATGGGTCTTCTACAAACAATTTCAGGAGGTCGTAGTAAATGCAGTGGTCCCCTGCAAATGGATAATTGTGGATAACTACAGTGTATTGTAAGTACAATGAATCACTGTGGACATAAGTACGGATATCACCTACGACAGTGGTGATCAAGATCTTCAAATACGTTTGGTACAAGGCGAGCCCGGTGATCAAGATGCACGCCACCGGATCTACAGCACTTATGCGAGCAGACAGAAGGCGTTTACAATCTACAACGCCATACCATCAGATCCGCAACACTCGTATTAGCGGACAGAAGATGTCTATAGACTCTCAAATGAAATGTTGTGCATTCAAATGACAATTATCCGCACAACCAAAATATGATAAAATACTTCTGCACGTGCACTATAAATTTTATACACATAGGTACACTAAAGGTGTATATAGAAATCACCCGCATGGACCCCGGCGAGCGTGTTATTGGTACACACATGACGTATAGGGATGCTGCGCGGGTTGACAAGTGAATTCAAGTTCGAACCCGATCCTTCTATACGGATCTATAGGAGTCGACAGGGTTCGAACCTTCAAAGAAATATATGTTTGTGGCAACCGATGTATTTGTTTTAATACATTCATATTAGGCCTTCAAGGTCAACAACGATATGAATTCACTAACAAAGGCACGAGACCTACGAAACTCGATCCTCCTAAGCATGTAAATAGGAGTAGACAAGGTTCAATCCATCGGATAAATATGCGGTCACGAAGTCGACTGGAATATTTATCTTATACATTCATATTAGGCCTTCAAGTCCTTCAACGAAGAAAATTCATAAACAAAGGCGCAAAGCCTTACAAGAAACCCGATCCTCGATCAACCGCTTGGTTGAGTCGACAAGGTTCAATCAAATGGAAATGACCCCAAACACCCCGATGATGGCCGTGTTGAATGTTTATCTCAAATGGAAATGACCCCAAACACCCCGATATGAATTCACAAATGTTTTCAAACTCTATCCAACTACGCCAAAAACTCAAAATCAAATCCAAATTCCAAGATATTTAAATTGAAATCAATCCATCAATCACTGAAAGAAAAATCCATCCACCCTCCGCAACAGTTTGCCGGGGTGGACAAATCAAAATCTACTTCAGCTCGCAAAAAAGAGCTAAATGCCTAGTCGAAAATATCACTAGGATCCATTCTCAAACAATCTCCTACCAGTAAGGACGTGGTACGTGTCCTCTAACCGGCGGTTTGCCGCCAAATGACACCGCAGGATAAATGGTTATGATGACCCGGGGCCCTCTTAACCTAGTAGTTTTGCTGCCAAATGGCACCACGAAATACCGGTTATGGCCAGAGCCAATACGCTCCTTATGGGCATCAAATCCTTGAGATATGTATCAATAGGACATGATCGATAGGGCATAAATCCCTCTGTCAGCTAAGGTGGATTCAAATTTATCCCCTTAGACAAACATTCATCCTAGGTCTACAAGGTCCCCTTGGATGAAGCAACTCATGGCTGCCAACAAGGATCCTTCTGTCAGGTTGGGTCGACTACCTCCTCTGACTAAGTAGACCAGCGACCACGATGACCCGGGACGACGGAACCATGGGATTTTGATCGGGTCCATCATCCATTCCCCCACCATTCTCTTTAAGTGCAAGATGGTGAAATTTTTCATTTTAAATATCAAATTCTTCCCAATGCCCAAATTCAAATCCAATTTCCAAATCCAAATCCATGCTGCTACTATATGCCAGATAATGCATATCTCTACTTATATGATTAATAACTAGCCTTAATTAAAAGTTCTCTCGTGATCGGGAGGGGTAATTAATTATAGGGGTTTGCGCCTATAGGAAACTAGAACTCAGATCATAAAGTCCTCGTAAAATGAGGGCGAAATCTTTGGGTAGTGTCTTTTCTACAAACCCATCTGCCTTCCAAAATTTACCCCGGAACTTATTCAGTTAAAACTCCATCGCCGAATAGAAAAAAAAAGCGACGGCGGGTAGGCCGGGGCCGAATTTTCGGAGCCCACAGATTTCTAGCGACTCTGCTGGGGAATGATTTGTCTTTCCATCTCTGGCCAGTCACTAAAAGGCTATAATAGCAAGCAAATCCGTATGGGGGTTAAAATTTTTAAATTTCCAGAAAATCAATCTTTTAAATAAGATCAATGGAAATTCAATCAACAATGTTTTAATTCTATGCTAATTTTCCTGCTTCTGTTATTTGTTCTGCGTAATTTCTGCATTATG